TAATATATTGTAAAACATTTGATATATATTATAAATAATTATTTATATTAGAAATTAAATAAAAGTTTACAAGGTATTATGTAATAAATTATTTAATTATTTGGTTATCTAAAAATTAATTTATTTTTGTTTTAGTAATTAGTAAAAATTAATTAATTAATTAATAAAAATTTTATAAAAAAAATATTGAATATTAGACAAATATAATTACTTAAAAGAGTTTTAATTTATTTTCAATTAGTATAATATTGTTATTATTAAAGTTTAAGTAATTTATTATTTAAAAGTGAATAGAAATATAACAAATATTAGGCTAATTTTTATTTTTATTATAAAGAAAACCAAAATCTAAATAGATAAAATAATCAAGAGAATTCTTTATTTAATAGCATAATTGTTATTAAAAAAGGATTATATAATTGTACAATTGTTCAAAAAAATTTTCTTTAAAGTCTCTATTAACTTTTCTTATATAATCTTATTATTAAACTCAAAAACTAATAATTATACAAAAATGTAATTATTAATTTTTAGTTTGAAAAATATTATAATTAGTACAAAGCTTAAGGATAAAAGACTTATAGATTATTTTTATATAGTATTGTATAGTAAATTAAATTTTTATCTAAAAGTAATATATACTATTAATAAAGCTTTTTTATTTTTTAATTTATTAATAAAAAATTTTATAATATTATAAATAAAATTATTTATCTATTATAATAAAATTTTAAACTATTGTATTATTTTAAAAAAATATACTTGTATATATAATAATGTTTACTTAGATAAATTAAAATTTGCTTAAATAATACAAAAATAAAAAATTTAGTTAATTAAATTATATAAATCTATAAATTACTTTATTATATAATTTTATATCTTAATTTTTAAAAATTTATATATTAATATGTTTTTAATCAAATTTAATAATTTTATATTATTAAAATCAGAAAAACTTATTTTATATTTTTTATTTAATTATTAAAATTAGTTTACTTAATACAATGTTTTATTAAATTATATATAAAAACATTACTATTAAATTTATATATAATTTAAAAATACTGCCTCTTATTCTTAATAAAGTATCTATAAAAGTTTTTTTTTAATATTAATGATAAGGCTATGCTTTTATTTTTATTGAATATTTATTTGAAATTTTTATATAAAGTATAAATTTAATATCAAAAATATTATAAAAAAAATAGAAGCTCAGATTAGTTTATTTGTAATTTAAACCAACAGATGTAGCCAAAACTCAATTAGATTTGGTTATTAGTAATAATATATAAAAGGTTAGTTTGATATTTGATCTATTATATATATCAGAAGTTAATTTTAGAGTGAATTGAATTAGAAAGAAAAGATTAAGATAAATATGAAGTAAGATTGGAAAGTGAATTGAAAATGAGAAGATGAGTTATTAATCTTAAAATACAGTAAAGAATCTAAAATTTAAAATATATTTGTTAATTAAGATGAAATAAAAATTTAATAACAAATATTATAATTAATTTTTTGAATAATAAATTTAAGATAATAAAGATAATTTTATATGACACTAAAGCTAATAAGGTTGAAAATCTAATAGTAGGTCTACTATATTGTATATAACTATACAATACAGTTGTCTAATTTGGTAGTATAGTTTGGTTATAGTTTCTGAAATAGTATTAAGTATATTAGTGTTTAGAGTATATTGTAATGAACTGTTAATAAGATTGTATAACAGCTGATCAGATAAACATATTATTAAATAAATATGAGACCTAGTTTCATAACATTAGTAACAGATTGGTAGATATGAGTGATATTATTTATATAGAATATGTAGAGAGGTCATCAAATAGAATTTTAATTCTAAAAGATTTAAAAACAAAAAATTGAAAACTATGTAAAAAGTTTAAAATTTTTTAAATATTATTAATATATAGCTATGTGACTTGCCAATTAATTTGATTAAAGATTTTGTTTCATTTTTGAAATCAGTTTTATGTAATCTATAGTATATAAATATGTATATGAAAAATTATATGAATGTTGTAATAAATAAGTAATTCTAAAGGAAACTTTTTAAAATTTAGAGTATAAGATAAGTTATAAATATTATAAAACATAAAAGTTAGATATAATAAATTATAATAGTTTTGTACTAGTTGGTTAGTAATATTATTATATGTATTGTCTTGATATATAATAATTTTATAAAAAATAATTTAAATTTTATATAAATTGACAAAGTTAATTAGTAATTTTTATAATGAAAAATATAATATATGTATATAGAATAAGATTGTAGAAGAGTTTAAAATGTTTTGATATTTAGAAATTACAAATTAAAAGTCCATATATGTGTTTATAGTACTATTTCTAGGAGCAATAATAGAGCAGATAGAATGACAATAAGTTCAGCTTTGAATAAATAAGATCAAAGTTTTACTTAAGTTTAAAATATATATAATATAGAGTTATTAGAGATTTGAGTTTATCCAATATTTATAAAATATTGTAAAGTATCCAAATTAATAATAAAACTATTTATATAAAAGTGAAGTTCTGATAGATTAGTATTATAGTTGTCTATTTGTTAAAGATTATATATAATAAACTAGGTTTAAAAATTATAGAAATTAGTTGAATAAAAATAATAATATTTGAAAGGTCTAAAATTTGAATAGAATTTTAAATTGCAATAAAGTATATAAAATTAAGATGATTTGTATTAAAATTAAAAGTTTTGTTATAAGTATTAATTTGACCCAAAAATTGAATTAAGAGATTGATAAGAATAATAATTATACATTTGTTAGCAAATTGTTTAGAAATTAAGAGAGCAGTCAGAATATATATAGAATTGAATAAGTGAAAGAAAATAGAGTTGAATAAATTGTAATTTAATATTTAATATTATATTATTAATGAATAATAAAAATAGATCTAGATATTGAAAATTGTCTTCTGACTTTGGTAACAATAATTTAATTATCAAGTACTATAATAAGCTATGATTTTTTGTATAATAAAAAGTATCTAGTTATATAACTGTAATAATTTATATCAGGTAAGTATAAATATTACTAAAATATATAATTTTAAGAATAGCTTATAACTTAGTCTTTTAAATAACTAAACCAAATAACTGTTTGTCTTTTAGGATCTTGTATATATGAAAAGAGATGTGTTTTTATTTTAATAAATAAGAATTGTCAAATGTAATAAGTTTATCAAGATATAGAATATCATAATGCATAAATTATTTTTTAAGGATTAAGTATTTTAAATATAAAATGAGCAAAGATTCTAGTAAGATAGAATCTTGTTAAATAGTATATAAAATGTTGTAAGTTGGATTAGAAATAAATGTGATGCCAAGATGTTTAAAAAATCAAATTATTTTAAAATTAGTAGTATGTTTGTTTAATCTATCAATAATAAGCTTATTATGTATTAAAATAATAGTAGGTGACTAAAGATTATTTTAGAGTTGTTGAAGCTAAATACAAATACTAATACCAAGAAGATTAGAAAAATTAAGTCTTTTAGTATAATTTGTGTAATATTGAAATTGAATATCTTATATATTTTGAATATTATATAGTTGAAGATAGAATAGTGTGTTAATAAAAATTGTGCAACTAAATTTAACTTTGTTTTTAATAAGTCCAATATAGTTAGTAAGAATTTTATTACATATGTTCTGACTAAGAACAATGTTGTGAATGCAATAATCAATTGTAAGAATAATAATTGTATTAATAATATATTATATATATATAAGTATCTATAAAATTAATACTTAATTTTGAAATAATTTAATTTTTTAATTTATTACAACTTTTTATAACAGTAAATAAACAAATTAATCTGTATCAGATTATCAATTTTTAAGTTTAAAATTCTTACTTTTATTATTATTAATTATTACAATTTAAATATTTATATTTGTATTTTTTTGTATTCAAAATACACCCATATTCAAATACATGCATATATCTATTGATATATTATTAGAATTAAAACCATTATATTGATTATCATAATATTACTTACCTAATCAGTAAAGACCATGATGATCCACTTGAAACATATGCACTGACCTCAAGTATGTCATATAACATTATACAAACCTTCATGTAAAACTCTACCACACCTTCTAATTAAAGAAAGGTTGATCTGATCTAACCTGTTTGTACCAATATGACTAAGAATAGATATTGATTCCACTTTACCCTACTTGAGTTAGGTGTGAGATGATGTCAAGAAGAGCAATAGTGGTGAAGAAGCTAGGTTCTGACTCTAGGACTATCAACACTAAAACATTTCTCATTGATTTTATAATGACCATGAGAAATACTAAAATAACAAAAGGCTGTGTAAAAGAGTTAAAGATTAGAACAAATTAGGTTGGAATTCGATGGAAACAAAGAGAAGAGTCATGATCTTGTGTGTGCTCTTCTCACAGACAATTTTTTATAAAAAGAGGTGGAATTTCCTCCTCTTAAGAAGTAGTTCATGATTCATATAGTTCAGATAGTTCTATAGTTAAATATAGTCCAGTAACAACAAGTGTGCCCTTATAAATTAATAACACTATTAATAAAGACCCTATAAACCCATAAAATATAATAAACATTCTTTAAAGCCCTCATTATTATCTCGTAACGCTCCTTAATCATCGCCTTGACCTTGTGCCAAATCGTAAAACCGCCTCTACAACCCGTTGAGGAACGTTACGCAGCATAATCGACTTTCAAGCGACAGTTAGTCGCATTTGCTTTATCTCTGGACTCACCCTATTAACCTGTCACACTATATGCATGATTAATTCATGTGTGATAAATCATGCGAACCAATCGAAGGTTTCGCGGACAAATCCCACTTCAAACAGTATATAATTTATATATACTCATTACATTCGTTCCTGGTAAAATTAAAGACACAAACTTGAAAAGGATTTTTGGTTACAAAAAAATTTTTTTTATTTAAATATTTGCAGATTAGGTTGGAACAACAAACCTAGATCTCCATTTCTTTCCATTAATATATACAACAATTAAGAATGAAATACTAAGAAAACATATTATACTTATTAAAGCAAACATCCAACGAACACCCAAACTTTCTTCAATAGAAGTTTCGAACATCATTATAATACCAGGTACACAAAATCTAATAAGGCTAACTAATGACATAACAGAAGCACCACGTCCAGGACACGCATCGACAAGGTATGTTGATAATGTGCTAAATGTGATTAACGTTCCAAACGAGCCTTTATAAAAACAAAGGTGAATAGTATAAAAGCCAAGTAAATTAATTAATAAAATACAACAGAAGGAAAAGGGAGCGATATATATGTTAGAAATAAACTTACATAAAAATATTAAAATTGCCAATACGTAAATGTTAAAACTAATATCTAATAGCCATCCATAAATGAAGCCAGTTACCGGAAATAATAATGATCCAAACCAAGCACTTTTTATTCTTACTTCAGGATAATAAACACCACCAGAACTTAAGATTGATTTCTTTGATAAGTAATCTGAGTATTTTCCTCCTAATAAACTTCCAAGCATAAACCCAGAAGAAGGAGCGATAAGAAACATACCAATTTGAGAAGATGTAAAGTTATATCGTGCAGAAAAGTTTATAGGAATACTAATATTTTGAATTTGAAGAATTATAGTTGATATACAAATATATGTAACAATAAGAATGATATGTGGGTGTTTAAATAATTTTAGTGGAGCAATTGGATTAAATCGAAGACTTGGATTAGCCTTTAAATAATTAACATTAAAAGTTTCAGGAAGGAAAAATAATATCAAAATAAAAAGGAAACCACCGAAAATTGTCAGAATCCAAAAAATCCAACGCCAACCAAGATATTGAGCTATGAATCCACCAAAAGTTGTTCCTAGAAAGGGACCAAGCCAAAAAACAAAGTAAAATATTCCGAATGCATATCCTCGTTCTATATATAAATGTGAAAAAAAAATTATTTACTAACTAAATATATAATAAATAATACCTAATAGATAAAAATTTAAAATAAGAAAATTTACCAATAGGATCGTAAATGTCACTTATAACTCCAGCACTAAGTGGTAATACAGCAGAATTACCAATAGCTTGAATGGAGCGCATTGCTGTTAACAACCAAATGTTTGTCGCGGTTGCGCATACCACCGATGCTGAAATAAATACCAAAAAGGAAACAATATATACTTTTTTTCTTGTTGCTAGTTCATCAGAATAAGCAGCCCATACTATTGGCTGTAACAATTAATGGCATTATTAGCATAACAAATTAAATAATAGCGCATTAAATAAAATGAATTTTACCCCTATTCCTAAGAAAAATGTAAATACAGAACCTACAAATTAAAAATTAAGTAAAATAAAATACAATATGAATATGATTAAAATTTAGTTTAATTGGTCAGCAATTACATTTATAAATATTTATTTATTTATCAATTTTATTCAATATTACCAAAAGTATCTATAGCCAAAATGGAAGCGTTAAAGTCCTTTTGTATTACAATAAGCGCGGGAAAGTGTATCCTAAAATTGTAAAATTTCAAAATTAAAAAGAAAGTATGTTATGTAATTTATCATAAAGTCGGTTCAAAATTGAAGTCAACAAAATCTTATCAGGTTTATTCTTAAGGGTCTCTTGCAGTATAAGTAAACCCACTTTATTTAATAAATACACTTATTAAAAAGGTCAATTGTACTGCAAAGATCCTACCAAGTATTAAAACTATTAATAAACAAGATTGACCATTAACATTTTTATCAAAAAGTTAATTGAACCGGACCGGCTAATTTCAAACTAGTGCTTGCCTATCACAATTAAGATTTACTTAGTGCTAGACTTTGTGTACATACGTATGTACGTACCTAATGTGCCGTGTAAAATTAAGGCTGCAAATGTCAACACATTAGGTTGCTTGCAGTTGAATTTTCGGTTAACATCATTTTTAGAAATTTAACGAACATATAAAATGAAAAAATATGAGTCAATTTGATTGGTCGATGTAAATCAAGTGATTGGTGAAAGTTATCCAGCGTTTTCATTGGTTATTCATTTTTCGGAGGGAGACTTCAGCTGAGGGGTGATGTTAACCGAAGAATCAACTTTGAACGGCCTTACTATTAAAACGCAGTATTTGCTAGTAGATATTTGCAGAATTCTAACGTTAACCGGTACAACTTGTGACTTTATCGGTAATAATAATCGATATTTCCGGTATAGAAGACTAGATCAACGTCGACTAACACCAGTAAACTATCAATCGACCGAATGTCGCAGAATCTGAACATTTATTCAAAACCATTACTATATAGTCAATAAAAAGCACTTACGTTCCCGCAAGAGGCGTCGTTATTCCACAAATAGCTACGATAAGCAAAACAAACAGCTTCTTTTTTGAAGACCAATTTCTTGGATCATCAGCATTATTCAAATTTTCGTTTACAGTTGAATTGTCATTAGCTAGTATTTTTATTAAATTTTTAAAATTTAATTAAATTTACATTTTCACTAATATTGTTTCGTTTTTGGTTCTAGTCAAGTAATCTGATTATAGTTAAATAAATTAAATAGGAGTATTTTAACTTTTACCTTCATTTTTTTCATTTTTAGAAAGGTCTTGTACGTAGATTTCATGAGGAGCTTTCTCGAGTTCTTGAAAAATTTCAAAAGACAAATTTTCAAGCTTTAAAACTCGATCCTTAGAATCTTTAAAAACATAAAAACCTTTGATTTAATAATTGGTATAAATATAAGAAAAGATTTAGTATTAATTTTGTTATGCACCTAAAATATTTGTTGAATTTGTTTTATCCATTGTGGTGAGAAAATAAAATAAAAATCAGCCAAACCTTTTAACTTTATACAAAACACGAAAAATATTCTACCGATTTACATATTGCATATGGATTAACCTTTAATCCGATCAAAAAATCTGAGAATTTAACTTTAGCCTTAATGTTCATTGCATTCCCAAGATAAGTAACACAATTTAGTGTGTTACTCAAAAAAATAAAAAGTAAAAACAAAATGCTAACGAAAATAACACAAATATTGTTACATAATCAAATAGTTATAATAATCATTACTACATTAAGGTTATGTTATTTAACCTTTTTTTTACATACGTAAAATTAGGTAGAGTAAACGTGAAAACCAGCTAAGAACGGGTTTTGCAACTGCCAGACTATGTTAACCTTTTTATTGCAATATGCAAAATTAGGTACAACAAATGTGAAAACCAGTTAAGAACGGGTTTTGCGACCACATAAATGCAACCAGATTAAAACTTGAAAATGAACCTGAAAATTTACCATAATCAATTATTGGTCTTAATCATATCATTTGATAATATAGTACAGTACTGGTGCGAAATTTTAAACACATCCATAAAAATATGCAAAATTATTACTCATTCTGCTACAAAAGTCTTTAATTTTAGCTCCGTAATAATTATAATGTATAATTATATAATGAATGAGTCATAAGCACCGCATAAGCGCGAAAAACTCCCATGGGCGTTATTTTAAAAATTATATTCTTTAAAATTAGCATACGTACCTCATGGAAAGACATCCATATTATTGGCTATTAAAACTATTTAATTTTACATTATTTATACAGTTTAAAGTACTTTTTTTTAAAAAAAAATAAACCGATAAGAAATAAATAAAAAAAAAACTAGATAGAATGTTTTATTAGGATTTTAAAACTCCACTACTGAAAATAATCAAAATACTTTTTTGGTTTAAAGATGTTAACACAATAATAACCTATTATTAAAATGTTTTTATTATGTTCAATTTTTTTAAAACAAAAAGCAATCTTCCAATTCTAACGAAACTTTAATATACTTTTATTTATTTATTTTTATAATTTTATATTTTAAAAGGTAAAATTCAATAGATTAAAACATCAAATCATTAAAATCTCCCCGTGATGCGTGGCCGCCCATGAACATCCTAAATTAACGTCCCAATATAACTAGTATTGACATTGCTTGTGACAGGTAGATGCATCAGGAAGGTTTCAACTGTTATTAGTCTAAATATTTAAAGTAATTTATTTAAGTTTGTAAATGCTCACTATTTATTGGCGGTATGACATTTACTAGCTAAATTTTTAAAATATTAATGAATATTCACTATTTCATTTATACGAGTATACTCGACTATCATCCGGGCTGTACCTTATTTCGAAATAACGCACTGTTGGGCGTTATTCGCGCTTATACGATGATTATTACACATAAAAGATTATTATATCCCTGAGTGTTTTTGTCTCAATAAAGATATAAATCTTACTTAAGTATATCATCTAGAACAAATAAAAGGCCAATATATTTGAAAAATATTTTTGGTCAGAAAACAGTTATTTATTTAAAATATTTTGTATATTAAGTTGTAACAACAAATTTAGACCTCCATTTCTTTCCATTAATATATACTACAATTAATAATGAAATACTAAGAAAACATAATATACTTATTAAAGTAAACATCCAACGAACACCTAAACTTTCTTCAATAGAAGTTTCAAAAATTGTTAAAATACCAGGCACACAAAATCTAATCAGACTAACTAATGCCATAACTGAAGCACCACGTCCAGGACATGAATCGACGAGGTATGTAGACAATGTGCTAAATGTGCTTAACATTCCGAATGAACCTTTTTGAAAAAAAAAGTCAAATAATTTAATAAAATAAAACAGCATAAACAAACATATATATATTATTAAACTTACAAAAAAACAATAAAATTCCCAATACGTAGATGTTAAAATTAATTTCTAATAGCCATCCATAAATGAAGCAAGTTACTGGAATTATTAACGAACCAAACCAAGCGCTTTTTATTCTTACTTCAGGACAATAATCACCAGAATTTAATATAGATTTCTGTGATATATAATCCGAATATTTTCCTCCTAATAAACTTCCAAGCATAAGCCCAAAAGAAGGAGCAATAAAATATATACCAATTTCAGAAGCTGTAAAATTATATCGAGCAGAAAAGTTTATAGGAATACTAATGTTTTGAATATGAATTAATAATGTTGATATACAAATATATGTAATAATAAGAGTGATATATGGATATTTAAATAATTTTAGTGGAGCAACTGGATTAAGTCGAAGAATTGAATTTGCTTTTAAAGCATTAACATTAAAAGTTTCTGGAAGGAAAAATAATATCAAAATTAAGAGAAGACCACCAAAAATTGCCAAAAGCCAAAAAATCCATCTCCAACCAAGATATTGAGCTATGAATCCACCAAAAATTGTTGCTAGAAAAGGACCAATCCAAAAAACAAAGTAAAATATTCCAAATGCACGTCCTCTTTCTATAAATGTAAAAAATAACATTTTCCAATGCAAATAAATAATAAATAATATTAATAAATAGAATTTAAAATCAAATAATAAAAGACTTTACCAAGAGGACCGTAAATGTCACTTATGATTCCAGCACTAAGTGGCAAAACAGCAGAATTACCACAAGCTTGAATGGAGCGTATTACTGTTAACAACCAAATATTTGTTACGATTGCGCATACCACCGATGCTGAAATAAATACCAAGAGGGATGCGATATATACTTTTTTTCTTGTTGCAAGTTCGTCGGAATAAGCGGCCCAAACTAATGCCTGTAATAATTAATAATATTATTGGCGTAAAAATTAAAGAATAATGCAGTACATAAAATAAAATGTACTTTACCCATGCTCCTATGAAAAACGTAAACACAGAACCTACAATTTAAATAAAATAAAATACAACATAGAATTCAGTTTAATTGACTAATAATCACATTTTTGTAAGCATTTATTCCGTCTATAAAGTTTATTGAATATTACCAAAAGTATCTATAGCCAAAATAGAAGCATTAAAGTCCTCTTGCATTACAACAAGTGCAGGATAGTGTATCCTAAAATTTTAAATTTAAAAAGCAATTATGTTATATAGTTTACCAGAGAGCCGGTTCAAAATTGAATAACAACCAATCAGTTTCATTCTTAAACCCCATTACAATCAATTGATTAATAAAAAATTTTATTTAAAAAGTCAATTATACTGTAAAACCCCTTTTCAAGTCATAAAACTACAATAAACTAGATCAGTCATTAACCTTTTTATCAGAGTTAACTGGACTGGTCTGGTTGATTTCGAACCAGTGTCAGATCATGTCTGGACTAGCACAGAAAAAAAAACATTTTCATTAATTTTTAGTGCTAAATTTGTGTATGCAGTATCTAATGTGCCGATGTAAAATTAAGGTTTGCAAATGACAGCACGGTATCATTAACACATAGTATAGAGTGAGTAGTACTGTACGTGCCTTGCAGATATTTACAAAACCCTAACAATTACATAACGGTACAACTCGGTGACAATCGTATAACGGTAATTATCCTAATCTGATTTCAGGATAATTCCGATACAGAAAACGAATTACAAGTTTGATATAATTATAAAAAGTTTATAACGATAATCGACCAGATCAACAAATTATCTGATACCAATAAACTTGTTAATCGGCCGAATAGTTACCAATCAAATTTAATTTTCCCAGAATTTGGTTGATTCAAAACACAATGATAGTTAGTCATGATAAAAAACACTCACGTTCCCGCAATAGGTGTCGATAGTCCGCAGATAGTTACGATAATCAAAACTATCAGCTTCTTTTTTGAAGGCCAATTTCTTGGATCATCAGCATTATTCAAATGTTCGCTTACAGTTGAATTATCATTAACTAGTATTTTTAATGAATTTTTAAAATTAAATTAAATTTACATTTTCACGATTATTATTTTGTTATTGATTCTAGTTAAGCAAATCGGATTATAGATAAAATAAATAATTTCAATAGGAATATTTCAGCTTATACCTTCATTTTTTTCATTTTTGGAACAGTTTTGCACATAGATTTCATGAGGAGCTTTTTCAAGTTCTTGAAAAACCTCAAAAGAAAAATTTTCAAGCTTTAAAACCCGATCCTTAGGATCTTTAATAACATAAGAATCATGATTTAATAATGAGTTACATATAAGGGGAGATTTAGTATTATTTCGTTATGTACCTAAAATATTTGTTGAATTTGTTTTGTCCATTGCAATGAAAAAAAATCAAACGATCATTAAGCCTTTTAACTTCAAATAATCTACGAATTTTTAACTTTGATCTTAAAGTTCGTTGTATTCCCAGTGGACAGTAACACGAATGTCACCATTTGATAAAAAGAATGTAATAAGAATGTTACTCAAAAAATAAAGAAATAAGAATGTTGACGCAAGTAACAAAATATTGTTACATATTTGAATATTTCTGGAAGAATTTTATCCCAAATAGTTACGTATAATAATCATTTATCATTACTGCATTAAGGTTATATAATTAACCCTTTTTTTTTTATAAAATTAAGTTCAGTAAGCGTGGATATAAGGTTTTTGCGGCAAAGTTAAAACTTGAAATGAACTAGGAAATTTACCATGATTAATTTGGCGGCATTCACATGATTTGATAATAGTGCCGGTACGAAAATTTAAATTCATCAGGAACAAGCCATAGAAATGTGCAAATTTATTACGTATTCTACCAAATTGGTTTAAGTATCTCCATAATAATTATAATATATTATATAATTAATTATATAACGAATGGGTCATAGGTACCGTATAAGCACAAATAACTCTCATTAAGTTATTTTAAAAATTATGCTATTAAAAATAGCCTCATAGAAAGACTTTTATATGGTTGGCTGTTGAAATCTATTGAATTTTACATTATTTATACAGATTAAAGTACTTATTTTTTAAAAAAATAAATCTACGAAGAATAAATTTAAAAAAAAGTAGCTAAAAGTTTTATTAGGGTTGTGAAACTCCATTACTGAAAATATTCAAAATCTATTTTTGTTTTAGAAAATTTAGAATGATAATAATCTATTTTTAAAAGCGTCTTTACTATGCTAACTTTATTAAACCAAAAAAGAAATTTTGATTATTTTCGACAGTGGAGTCCACAACTCTAAAAAAAAACTTTCTATATCTTTTTATTTATACCAGGAACGGAGTGATGAAATCACGAAGTAGATGGTTTATATGGAATCAAAATCTTAAGTTGTATTGGTCCGCATTATTTATTCGTCAAATTTTGGTTATTTTTCACACATGAATTCATCACGCATATAGATCAACGTGCATTCGGATATGCAATCACAGAGCATAATTTGAATACAAAAAACGCAAACATGAATGATATCGTAGTTGCGATAAATAACGATAGTAAAAAAGGAATTTCGGATGCAAAAATTGGTAACCCGATGCAAATTAATTTGCGTATTTGTATGATATTTGGCATTTTTTGTTTTTTTTTCGTAGGATTTTTTGTTGGGTTGATGAAATGATAATCGCTGATCGTCAAAGACAATTTATTATATGATTCCTTGTAAACTTTTGTTTGATTAGCTAATGCGAGTCGCTTACCTATAATGTCTATCAAATGCTTCGCGATATATTAATGGGATGCTAGATTAGTTCTCGTTTGTACGTTACTTGGACTATTTGTTAACTACTATATTTGTCTTCGTTCCTGGTTTCTAGCGTGACTGCGTCGCGCAGCTACCTTATTTATTTTTTGTAAATTTATTTTTTAAAAAGTACTTTAAACCGTATGTAGAGCTTAGCAGCAAATTTGCCGATCAGGGTAAAATTGCTACCCAAAAAAGTTTCGAAAATCATCACGATTAGGAAGTTAGAGGGTGGCAAAGAAATTTCGCGACTACGTCATCGCCGACCTTTCTGAACCACATCGGAAGAATTTATATTAATTAACAGGTATATAATCAATGTAACTGTTAATTAATATCAATTTAAACATTTAATATTAGGCTTCCGATGGGTTTGGAAAGGTCGGCGATGAAGTAGTTGCGAATTTATTTTGCCACCACTATTCTACCTTGATTAGGATCATGATAATATTTAGTTATTGGATATTTATTAAATATTAACATAATTAATTTAGTAATTTTTTTTCTTCGATTCTTCAAAGCGATTGTTAAAAGCATAAAACCCAATAAACACACACTATTCTAAAAATGTATGTTGATTACCGTAACCAAATTTCCATTAATAATAAACGAAAAAAGGATTGAAATCGGAATAAAATGCAATTGCACTAGAAAACATTGTAAATTTTTTTATTTTTAATGTTCTTCCCGAAATTATGCCTCTGATATTTATTTGAATAAAAGGTTTTTATAATTCTGAATCCAGGACGCAGCAACGAAAAATTATTGAAAAAAAACATAATGACCCAAATAGTAACAAATGGCCTTGTAGTATTAATAAAAATTTGTGCAATTGCATAAATTGGTGGGTTATAATCATTTTAAAAGGCAATGGATTATTCTAAAAACTTAAAGGTATACTAGATTGTTTTGAAATAATGTTTTAGAATATAGGTCAAAGTTTTAACTTACACATTTGAAATGTTATTTTGAAACAATGTTGTATAATTTTTAATAAAAAGTTTTAACTAAAAAACATTTTATAATTTTTTTAATAAATTTTTAAATATTAATTTTAAAGCTATGGTTTTTAATACAATATTGTATATTATAAAAAGAAGAATAATTTTTTTATTATTATAATTTTGTAAAACTTAAGCTATGCATTAAGAATAAAAATTTTTTTATAGTTAAAAATATATAAAATTTTAGAAAATTTAAAAAAATTTTATAATAAAAATTCTAAAATAAAAATTTTAAATTATTATTATGCAAAAGTTTTTAATAATTTTAAAAAAAAATTTTTTTAATAAATATAATTTTTTTTTAATATTAATTTTTTTTTTTGGTATTAAGGTGAAGCCTTGCTCCTATCTTTTTTTGTAGTCATTAAGTAGTAACTACATGGAGTTACTAAATACAAAAAGAAGTTCTATATATACTATAACTAAAATCAATACTTGTGGTCAGTCAGGGCTGACCATTAAACTGCTAACTATAAAACTATAACTTTAAGTAATATAAATGTTACATGCAAGAGTAAGAACTCAGACATATTTATCTGCAACTTAAATCTACTAGAGTGCCTAAGGCTCACCTAGATTAGTTGAAATTTTCTAAACAATGTTCATTATTCTAGTATATACTAGTAAGCTACTCATAGATTTTATTAACTATTTATACTATCAGAAGTTAATTATATTATTATAAAGAAAAGAAACCAAAGGTAAGATAAATTAAATAAGAAATAAAGTATAGTTAAAAAAATAAAAAGTAGTGTTGATTAAATAAGCAAATGGATAAAGAAAGTTAACAGAATTATAAGAATATAGCTAAAATAAATAATATAGATTGAATAGGTAGATAAATAAAGAGAAGTTAATAGAAATGTATAAATATTGCTAAAAAAAAGACTATCATCAAGTTTATCAATAATTTTAGATATATTAAAAGTATAGATAAAGTTAGTTTCTGATACTGTAAATATAACAATATTAATTTTTTCATAATGTATTAGTTTGCTTAATCGAAATATAACTTGTTAAAATTTTTTTTAAGTTGAATAATAGTTGGTTTAGAGATTTGGGTGATATCACAATAGGCAATAATTCTGATTAGGATATATGAATCACTTGTTTGAGAGAAGATTTTATTCAATGCTTTTTTGAGATTAAGATTAATAATTTTATTGTTTGTTGTTGCAGATTTAAAGTAAGCTTTAAGATAGTAGTAAAAGAAATAAGATATTTGTTTAGAATTAGTAGATGTATTGTTTAGTTGGATAAAGGTTTGTTCAGATTGGTTGACTAGTTTATAAAGTTCTTTAAAAGTAAAAAGTATATAGAATGTCACTGAGATAAAAGTAGAAAGATTTAAAGACAGATATATATATTGTTGAATGGGTATAATGTTAAAGAATTGTTTAAAGTAGTAAGAAATTAAATTATAAATATTATGAGTTGTTTTTGAATTAAGAATTTTGTATTTTTCCAGATTGGTGCAGATATATATATGGTGTATTGCTGTTTTGGTAACATAGTTTGTTAAATCTTGAGTGGATCAGATAGTTAGTAGTTTAGATTTTTGAAGGATTAGCTTTTTGTATTTATTATTAGTTGTTATTATTATTTAGTATTTAATATAGTTGTAAACCTTTTGTTTATTAATGTTACTAAATTGTTTTTTGTAATAAATAAAGAATTTTTAAAACTAGGTTTCAAATTGTGATTTGATTAAGTAAAAAGATATAATATAATAGTTTATATTAAATTCTTAAAAAGAGATATTTATAGTGATATTGATATAAAATTTAGAGGTATTATGAATTTGTAACATAGAAATATTATTTTTTAAAGTGTTTGAAATATGGTTTATATATATATAACTTTTTAGATAGATGGGTTTAAGTTGTAAATCATGAAAGAATTTTTGATAATTAATGGTTTGGTATTTGTTGTATAGAAATAAATAAAGTCTGGCAATGCTTATAGCAATTTGAAATCATTTTTTAATAGAATAAGAGGAAATAAAATAGTATAAATTAAAGAGTTGTTTATAATTTGTTTTATGAAAAAGAATATAAATAAATTTGGTAACCCAGCTTTAATTATACTGAGAAGGATTTTAAAAGGTATTTTGGTTACTTTAGTTTTTTTTTTTTTTTTTGGTATTAAGGTGAGGCCTTGCTCATATCTTTATTAGTAATTTTAGTTGTACATATTAAT